GCTGCCGTCGTCGTTATGAACAATCCGTCTCCCATCGAGCGCGTCCTTCGCCGTAAATTCAGAACTGCCCAGAGCTGGCTCCCTTGGCGGCTCTACCTCCCAGGATTCCTCGACTGGTCCTTGCAGCGGCGCGATTTGCGTATTGCCGTTTGCTTCAGTCGGCTCGTCGGCGACCCGGACGATAGTTGGATCGCCATTTGCACGCGGCAGCACGTCACCGACGAGGCGACGGATGTCCACCATCGTCGGCGGTCTGCCTTCGACGGGTTCGAATGCACCGAGCAGCCTGTCGAGCTGTTGCCGTGCGGGCCGGGCTTCCGCTCCGTTGGGATCGAGGTTGGCGTTGCGCAGTCCCTCTTCGAGGAACAGGCGGCCGAGACGGTGGCGCTCGAAGGCGGGATCGGATTTGCCTTCGGCGAGAGCCTGCTGGAGTTTGGTCAGGCGGTCGTAGTCGCTGTCGCCGAGCGACAGCCGGTGTTGCGTGAGGTCGACGCCAACGAAGCTTTCCGGGTCGCGCACCGACTGATCGTCGAGCCTGTCGTAGAGGTCACGATCGGTGACGACGCGGCCGCCGTTCATGGCCGTCCGGTCGAGTGCCTCCGTCTGCTCCGGGCTCAACCCGTCGCGCAATGCCGTCGGCATCGCCATCAGGGGCGCCGCGGGATTGGCGCCGAGCCAGTCGAGAGCGCCCGTCGCCGCGCGGCCCCGCTTCGCCTGCCACGCCTGGTCGGCACGCGCCTGTTCGATGCTGGCCATCCTCGATACCTGTGCCCGCACCTCCGGCGAGGCGTCCGGCGGCGTCGCCTCGGCGGCACGCGCCTGGTAGTCGTCGAGATCCGGGCGGCGTGTCGGATCGTCCGGCATGTCCGCGAGACCGCCGACGATCTCCGTGACGCGCCGTTCCTCGTTCGCCCGTTCGATCTTGCGCTCGACCGCCGCCTGCCGATCCGGCTGGATCACGACGCGCGCGTGATCGTAGAGCGTCGCCGCGCGCTCGGGATCCTGGACGATCGCGGCCTCGACCGCGCCGGCATAGAGATCGCTGAGGCCCGGTGCGCACCGCCGTGTCGGTCTGGCCCGCGTCC